CTAGTAAATATAGGTTAGTCATTCTGATCTCAGTAGCCTAGCCGACAATCTTTCGTTTAAATGGAGTGTTTTGGGCAGGAGTCCGCAGAATTGCACGGCCCTCCCTTTCGAGAAGCGTGGGCCTTAAAGCTGGGCCCCGCGGTTAGGAGACTCGTTAGACTCCTACTAGTAGCTTCTAGCAACTACTGTAGTAGCAACTTAGCTACCAATCCGATGCACTTGTTACTAGTAGCGATGCACTTTGTTACCAGTGATTTACCAGACGTGCCAGACGTGCTTCCGTGATCTTCCGTGCTTCCCTTTTGTTTGGTTAGGATTCTGCATGAATTTGCTGACTGCAAGGCACCACGTGGAAAATCTAAAAACAAGATCGTCCGGGGCTCAGATGGGGGGATGGTCCGGATGGTCGAACCTGGAAGATCGAAGCGCACGGCACGCAGTCCGCTGAATGCTTCTCAAATTGAGGTGGTGACACACACACACACGACAATGACCTCTGCATGATATGAACAAATGCAACATGAAAGATCATTTAATAAAGATCCGAACATTGGATCCCTTCCCACTGAGGGAGCCGTGCGGTCATTAGAGGCAGCAAGAGCTGAAGAAACTGCGGGAACGGTGTGCCCCACTGACAGCCTGAGACCAGGATCTCTCTTGACAAGGATCTCTTTCCTCGAAGAGTCATGATGCGTTATGCCGGTTCCAATAATTTTCCGAGAATTCCTATGACTACTACAAATAAATTCCTAAAGTTTGGATCTCAACTGTTGTAGCCGAATTCGACCCAAGGAAGGTTTTTTAGCGTCGAGTTGTGCAAGTGGTGCAGTATTCATACCTTTGATCAGTGTTGACAAAAAGCTATGGTGCAACTACACCATATTTGCTATGGCCAATGAAAGAGCATGAATCCATATTATCCCATGTTCCTTCCTCATCCACGTTGACCACTTCCCAAACCCGATTGACGTTTCCGGGACAGGCACAGCTGAGCTCCGAAAACCAGCGCTTGCGGCAGCAGCTGCGCCGTCTCTCGCCCTACAGCAAGCGATCTCCAAAGTTTCACTGGGATGTGCTGTGGGTGCCATCTGGAGGTTATAGACCATAGGCATGTTTCGATGGTTCTTCGAGATTCAGTTCAAGTAGGGATTAATAAGGGTACCATTGACACCTGCCATGATGGCATTGTCATTTCGAAAGGTTCAATAGCCTCATAAGAATCAGGAGGCTCTCCTGGAAGGGCAGTGTGTTACTCTTGGCTTTTGATGCCTTTCAGACAGCACAGTCGCACTTTACTTTGATTCAGGTACTAGCGAGCGTTCCGAGGCACTTGGTTTTGGCCAAAGCAAATTATCACCAATGTTGCCATGTTGCCAATGTTGCTCCAAAACGTGCATCTCTTCAAACAGACCGAAATCAATGCACCGCAAGACTCCGCAATTCCGCAGTTATATAGCTTGCAGAGTCCACAGAGTTACGGCAAGGGTGGTTGTCATTTCAGTCAGGGCCCAATTTGGGCGTCAGGATGCTTGTGGGCAAACATCATTGCAAGGTTCAGTAATGGCCAACCAACATTGACTCAGAACTGACTCCTCCGTGATGGCCAGTTCACGAGAAAAAACCGCTTGCCAGGACACTGCAGTAGCTTCGAGGTTTGGCGGGCTCATATACTTGCAGCACAAAGCAGTCTTGGGACCACTGTGTTTAAGTTTGTAACGCAAGAAGCACAATAATATATGCACTGGAGCAAACATCATAGAAGGGGACAGCAGGAGATGCCCTCGCTCGACTTGATTGGAAGCATCTAACGTTTTGAACCCAAAGTTCACATTGCGAGCTTTTGCTTGTCTTGATGGACCGCAGGGGTGGGGCTGGTGATCAGAAGGCCAGCTGGGGCCTGGTTGGGGTTCTCGAGGCTTCCGGGATTGTTATATAGCTGGGTGACGGTGTTTCATTCAAAAGACACGTGCAATGCATCCTTTGCTCATGAGCCCAAAATTGCAAAAACAAGAGCGAACAAGAGTAGCACAGGATTGTACAATCCTGTGTGCTCTCATAGATGGTACAGCTGGAACTGCTTTTGCACCGGCCTCCCAATATACACGAGCGACACCTGGGACCTAGATGAACCTAGGACCTAGAACATGCCTCTGCAAAGCTGAACAACATTTCACTCAAGTGCTCATGTAGACTTGCGCGGGCTTCCGTATGTTTCGGCCTCGCACCTCAAAACCTACAGTCCTCACTTAACTTCACTCACGTCTCATGGCCTTTGGACCACCCTGAGAGGTGAGCCTGCTCAGCCTGAATGGAGTGCGCCAAGAGTTTGGGAGTGCAAAAAGCGCAGCGCCGCGGTTGGTTTGGTTGATGTACTGGGCAAATTGAGTTGATGTTCTGTTGGAGTACTTGCGGAATCATTCTGTTTTCGCTGGACTCTTTGAACCCCCGTGGTTCTTTCAATAGAGCATAAAGAACTTAGATTAGATTGACAGTCTGGTGGCTTCATTCCTTGCTCTAATTGCATTAATTTATATACTGGTTAGGCAGGTGTAATGAAATCATAGAACAGTCAGTGATTAGTTATATTATATAGTTAGATATTTACATGATTTACATATATTTACATCATGTTTAACATTGTTTGGGATCTTTTAGGCTACATCTAGCCTGACAGAAGCGCACACATGTGAGCGGGGACCAGCAGTTGGGAATTTGACAGAATTTGTAATGTCATCAATGAACTTAGATGAACTTAGATTTCGTTGACTCATGTCGAATTGCAGCCATTGAGAGGTAGCAGCATCATTGGTCCAAGTTTGTTTTGACGGAAAGTGACGCTGCTTCACGCTCCCACGCCTCCGAGGTACACGGCGAGCCTAGCTTTGCCTTGCTCATGAGACTCCTATTGATTTTCGGTGTGGTCAACACGGCTTGGCGGCCGAGAATCCTGAGTCATAAACAAGCTGGACCGTGTAACTTAGGAGACGCTGCAGCCTGCAGCAGCAAGGTTTCAGTAGATTAACCTGTGAGTCCTTGAAATATCTTGAGATCACCACTTGCCACTCGATACACCTCGATACCACTTGTGTTCTTTGGGCACAGCTATGTCTCGGTCCATTCGCAGTTTGTGATTTGGTCATGTGGAGATGAGCATCCAAGTGAGCCATCCACCGCCAAAAGACTCAGGCCATATATTTGGCTTGGAGTGCAGAGGGTCCGGTGGTGGAGAAGGCGTGGGCGGTGGGCGTTTTGGGCCGAAGAGGTTTTCGAGCATGACCGGGCGAGACTTCCGGAAGTGGCGTTTGGGTGAAATCACCTTTGTCCAGGTATCCAAAAAAGCTTTTGGAAGGCTTTTTGACTGCTCCTCGAGGTCATTGACAATCCCAAATGGTTTCATCGCACCTCTAGATCATGGGATCTGTGCGATCATCATGGGTGAAGCTGTGGCGGCACGGTGACACACGTAGAGAGCTTACTAACATCACATCCCTTTGACTCGCTGCCCCAAACCTCCTTGTGAATCCAAACGCAAAAGCTTTACAGATGGCACAAGAATATAGTAGCCAGATGTTGCCAGTCACTGTGAAGTATTTGTATAGATTCCTGGTACACATCGGTACGCAGTGTTTCCCTCCCTGCTGGGATCCATGGTCCAATCGAGTTGTGCACACATAGTTATATAATCATAGTTACATATAATGACGCAGTTGAACTTGTGAAGCTTTTGTAACACAGGAATGCAGCAATTGAAGGCACATACATAACATATTAGGTACCCCTTGCCAGTTGTCCTCAGGAATTCCGACAATGGCACGTCAGGTGAAACGTCGTGCTGCAGAGCCCTTGTTGAGGGCACTAGGACGAGGGACTTATGTGGGCCGCCCAGACTTGCCAAGACGCAAAGACCTGTTGATAGTCTGTTCAGTTGTTGACACCCAAAGAATCACAGAACTTGGGTGAAGAGGGAACCACGATCTTTCTGAAGGGAGAGTGGCATTGGATGAACATGCGTGAAACGTTGAAACTGGGCGAAAGAAAGGGACCAAGGCGGCCTTGGCTCAAGAAGATGTGAGTCATAGAAGAAATCAGCCCGGCCGGCTACGAGGAAGTCGAAATTAGCGAGTTGCAGGTGGGGTCCAGTCAGGGTAACGTGAGTCAGGGTGGACAAAGGGGGTGGTGACAAGTAACACTGTTGTGACGGCAGAGTCAAGCAAGCAACTATCAACGGGCACTATGACTATGACTCCTCCTTGCATTGTTCATAATGTTCATGCTTGCTGCCTTTTTCATCCTTCTACCTTTGACCGACCATCATGCATATTTGCATATCTATGTTGCTGCTGCATTGCTGCTGTCATATTTTGGACTCATTGTCTATAGCGACTGACTGCTAGGGCATGACATTCAAGGAACGTACAGGATCATTCACAGGAAAGATGAGAAGGTCAGAAACCCTTATTCTTCGGTACACTGAGTGTTGTTGCTCACATTTATTTCCACACGCATGCAAACGGCGGGTTCAATTTGCAAGTTTTAAGGGTTGTGATCTTGGGCTCGTTGGGTGGAGAACACTGATCGCCAATTGCCTTTCTCTTGTTAGCTGGCTCTGCCTGCTCCGCCCGGAGATCAAAAGGTGACACAGAGAGAGAAGCATGTTCACAATTCGAAGACTTAACTGCCTTTGACTCAGGATCTGCAACTGGTACATAGATTAGATTCATGGGTGGACTGAACAGAGTAGCAGACAGCGCAGAATGTATGCATGAGCACGAAGCAACACTCAGGACTTGGGACTTGGGACTTGCACTACATCAAACAAAGTGGCATGACAATTGAATTATACTAATTTGTTTTCTGGACCAGATTCCAACTGGCAGATCCAACATCAACCCGAGCAGATGAACCGAACCAACCACTGCCCACTTCTTTGAGGAGGGTGTGACTTCTAGACCTCGCGAATCCATCCATTGTTCTGGCCAGCACGGACTCGGCCAGCACGGATGGTGAGGATCGTGTCCGAGGAGCCGCGGCCGCCTGTGAAGCTACGGCAGTTCTGCTCAAACAAGGGTTAAGGCCTAGATTGGCTATTACTCTAGATTGGCTTAGAAGCGGCCAAGGGGGTTGAGGAGAGTTGTGAAGGTTCTGATTCGATCAATTAGAAGAGACGACATCTTAGAGGCTTTGAAGAGCAAGCTGAGCTAGGCGTCACTCTTGTGGCTTGGAACGTTTTTAGCCTGTCAAGGGAATGCACGAACTGAGTCTTCAACGAGTCTGGCAGAATTGACCAATCCAAAGTGGGTTCTGCCGAGCGTTCCGCATGTTGCAGGAGTCTGGGAAGATCACCGTTCCATCAAAATGCTCAATTGGTTGGATGTGTTTAGCCACACTGCTACACGGAGCTCCTTGGCACCGGTGACGAAATCCTGAGATATGCTCCCATTGAGTCATATTGAGTCGCCATGGCCACCCATCATGAGGCCTTTGATCTGAGAATGACTCGGAATGACTCTTCCCTGCTTGGGGGTCACCAAGCCATTCATACGCTCTGGTGCCAATCAGCATGATGAGCTGAGGTTGGATCCGGGGCAGTGGGCATCTTCATCGCTCATCTCATCCGAAAAGTGCAGATCTTAGGGCACGGAGGCCCAGTGGCGCTGATGGTTTTCGTGAAACGCCGAGGCGCGAAGCCACCCAGCCCTATGGTGGTTGATATTTTCATGTTCTTTCAGGTTTATGTTGACTAGTCCCTCTTTTTGACCGCCCAAAGTTTGTAGTTGTGACCGAAGGGATTCCACCTTTTGGTGCCCAACCAGAGAAGCATACATTGTTCGACATGTGACATGCAGCTTTACATCAATCTTGCCTTTGACAACCTCGCAACATAGCTTTTGGCCCAGCTTGTGTGTGTGTGTTTGTGTGTCCCTGAAAAGCATGCCTGGCTGTTCCTGAGGTTCGGCTACGACCACGGTGGTTTCTTGGAGATTGCCCTGGAATCCAATACCTGGAGACGAATGGCCTGTGTCCTCAGCGGTGGACTGCCTCTTGGTGTAAGCTCAGAGGGAAGGGAGGCACACACACACAAGAAAGATGCCTTTCATATCCTTTCATCATCTCTGATCTACATTATTTTTTACAGATAAATCTATGTAGACTGAACTGACAGGACTAACACATGCACCTTTTTTGCAAGCATTATTGAATTGCCACTCACTCAATTTGATGTGCAGATGTGTACAGATTTGGTTCTTACCTTTATAGTTGTTGTTCTTGCCTTTGTTGTTGTTGGTGGGCATGGTGGCTGCAAACATCTGCAAACGCTGTGCATGCACATTTTGCCACATGTGCTGGTGCTGGTAGTGTTTGATGGAACCACACCCAAATTCAAACAGAAGAGACTTGTTTAGAATCTGATCATGAGTTTCGGATAGTTTCATGGAGTAGAACAATTCTGGAAAGAACATCGAAGACATAGTTGCTGAATATTGCTGACCATACATTTATGGTCTTTTGGGACCCCCACATGTTGCAGATCCATCCGGACGCCCAGGATCGGCGCGGTCGCTTGGTTCTGGCTCCGTGGGCGACGAGTGTATTTGGTCACCGTGGAAGAGAGCCTGAAAGGCTGGGACAGGAGGGGCCGCCAGGGCCGTCAGGGCCGTCGGCTGGGTTGCGGCTGGGTGCGGCCCAGGCATTTCGATGCAAACTGGGACTGAAACGGACTCCTCCAGCTAATGAGCTCAATCCTCCGAATCTACCATTCGGAGGTCGTTCACTAAATGGATTTGGGATCAGGACCCTGGCTCGACCAAGCCAAAGCCGGAAGAATATGGAAAAATCATGGCTGGGGGAGTTTCTTCATCTCAGACTTCGTAACATTCACCCATACTGATCGTACACACACATATACTGTATATATATATATATATCATACACTGGACGTTAGAAGCAGCATATCTCCATACCCGGGGTGTTGGTATAAAGCAGGTACAACCTAGATCAGCGTAGGGCGCTTGAGTTCGCATTGGAGAGTTGAGCACAGCAGCCAGGTGGCACCCAGGTACTCGTGCCACTTAGGTCAGCATGCCGAGTGTCGGAGAAGAGAATCACCTTCTTCAGACAGTGACAGTGACAGACGGGTCATCCAATTGGGTGACGTCGCACTTGTTCGACTTCTACACATCGCTGTACACCTGAAAACGTCGCTGTACGACATTTTCAGGTGCAAAGATGCCACCGGTGGCCACTCTGATGAATGCCATGGTGCAGGACGGGGACGTCGTGGAGATGACTTGAAACAGCTAAAGATGGGGACAATATGTTACAACATCCCACACTTGTGGTGATGTTTGCTCTGGTGTTTGACGTACGGAATTGAAAGGTGTCCTCCTCCTCCTCCTCCTCCTCACACTACAAAATCATGGTGCTTTTCTACACTTGAAGACTTGAAGAGAACAGATTTTGTACTGTAAGGCTATCGCTGTCGAGCCCCCCATCCATTCTTCGAGGACATTGTGGTGGCGCTGGGCGGCTCCTTCGGCCGCGAAGCGGCGCCACGGGAGATCGCCGCCATGTGGGGCGGCTGGGTCGGCGATGCCGCTCGGGCAGGTGGAACTGGTGGACCGGGGGCGAGGTCGCAGGGGAAACCGCCGGGGATGTGGAGGTTTGATGGTAGGTTGATGGGGAAACCGCAGGAGATGAACAGTAACATTAGCATACATTAGCAGCATCCTGGGAAATTGCGTCACCTGGGAGCATTTGGGAGCTATGTACAGTAATGGCAACAGTGCACATGGCAGTTCCCGGTTACTTTGGAACAGACTGGCTGCCCAAATGTCTTGTGAAATAGCCGAGCGGAATCGGAATTTTAAGGAGATTTAAATGTGTGGAACCTGTGATTGTATGACATGTTTGAACACAAGCACTGCACTTCCGTGATGGAACACAGACTCCAGGGCCCCCCAACCAATCAGAAGGGGAGAATGTGTTTGAGACACCCTCAATTGAAGATGAAGGTGCATGATTTAGTGCATGAAGTATCACCAGTTTTCTTCCCCAGTTGTGGCTGGCCGTTTGTGATTGTGCACTGTTGTTGAGTTGCAAAACAACACAAAACAGATGCAGACGGCAGATGCCCTGATGCTGTGACGATGTTTGACACCGCAGATGATTCATGTGTCCTGATAGTTATGTTTAGTTTCCCTAAATAATCTAGGAACCAAATCATTAGTGCGAGTGCCTCTTCAAGGAAGCTTCCCCCGCCGCCTTTAGGGTGGCGGGGAGGAGCTTCCTTGAAGAAGCGTGAGCCAACTTGCAGGTAGTAGCTACCGTTTGCTTCTACTAGCTCCCTACCTAGCTACTACCTACCTCTACTTGCGGCCTATCCCCAGGTCTAATTATATTTTTATATATACATATTATACATAGACTATATATATACAGATCCTTTCGTCTCGTGACCTTTGTTCTTTTTCCTGGATTGTACAAGTCGGGCCAAGGCTTTCGGGGTCACGAAAGAGCAGCGGAAGGTGGGCTCCGAGCTGCCACAGGTCGTGGCCAACAGGGCCGAACTGCCACCTCTGGGCCTTCTGGGTGCAGTGACAAATGATACAAAAAACCATAAGAAACCTAGGAACCAAGAAGGCCGGAGTCCTTCTGTATCCTGAGTCCTTCAGTATCCTGGTGCTTAAGAAGCTTTCTAGCTTGGTAGCTACCCCTTATTACTCGTACTTACTTAGACTTGTAGCCCACCCTTACGGCACACACCCTTGGGCTTATTTAAAAAGACAAGAAGCGTCCCCTTCTTTGATTTTATTTGTGCCCAATCTGTCATAAGATCGTCAACCACTTAGAGTGTTGACTCCACGATCAACGGAGCATCCGTGTTTGTTCTGGACTAGATGCTTCTGGATCCTCCACGGTGCAGGCCTTTTGTGTGCCATGATCTACTGAACACTTTGTTGAAGTGGGTTAAAAGAGGGGGGTGGGAATCTGTGCTCATAGTTGTTTACAATCCTGCAAAGGGCCCTCGCAAGGTTGCATGGCCATCCTCACAAGCAGTATTTGCACGTCTTCTTCCTCAGTGCTGTGTTACTCATTTGCGTTGCTAGTGTGGCTCCAGCGGCTTGAGTACAGCAACGTTCAACTTCAGGTCTTGCTTTTGTTTTTTTTTTTGATAGAAATATGTGTCCTTAAGTATAAGCACCAGTCGCACTTTGCCCAGTCATTGATGCAGAAAGACGAGGAGGCGCTTTACCACCAGTAATGACCACCAGCACGGATGACCACAAGCGAATTAGACACAAACCAACCAATAAGACCCACCCACAGGGATCCACAGGTTCTGGTCGATTTCTTCTCTTTTACTCAGTCGGTTGGTCGATGGTGCCGATTTTTTGCGCGACCCTTTCGCGGCTGATGTTTGGCCAGGTCCTAGTGGCTTGTGGTGCCGGTGCTGGCTTGGCAGCAGTTCGGCCGGCTTGCTTGGAGCGTGTCATCCGTTCTAGTGCACCTCGCATTGAGCCTGTAGGACAGCACCAGGTGAGATATAGAAGATACTCTTCTCAGATCCGGCATTTTCTGTATTTTTTGTGCAAATTGGTATTTGATTGTAAAATCAACGACTAGCGCTTGTTTTCTTCCATGTTAGATCTCAATAAGCTACATACTTCTTTGGGGGCCGATGTTCAGAGGCACCGGGCTGAGCTGACCGGAACTCCTGGTCTAGTCAGATTAGCTAGTTGCTGCTTGACATCACACTGCACGAATCTGGTGACATGCACCGATTTTCTCCCCTTGTCCCTCCCTGCACCCAGGGTGTATGTTTCGCTTGGCTGGTCACAGCTGTCATCGCAGTTGACGAGCGGCTCAATTACACGGCATTTTGGCCCATTCTAGACCACATGCGTATACCAGGGTAGGTGGTTGGATTGATGAATGTAGTGTACCCAAGATGTAGCAGCAAATCAGGTGAGTTTGGACTGTTTGTGCCAGGTGTACTCTGTGCCGATTAGCGGTGTCTTGGAGAAAGCAGCCGCCTTTTGTTGGCTTTGGAGGGCTGTATAACATACTGTAGCTACACATGACTTACATGTTGAGGCAGAGATACCATGTTTTTGCTAGGTGACCAAGAGCACACACAGTGCAGTACATAGAAGGAACCAATGACAAGTTTTTGCACAAAGACTTGCCCTTTCACTTTTGCAGTCTCAGTCTCAGGGATAAATTGCACCAAGTTTTACACTTGGCAACATATCAAGGCTGTCCCAAAATGGGCTCAACCTGTAGATATACTCTGCCTATGCCAACAGCTCGACTACCCCAGCTTCGCGTTTTAAGCCTCTTTGAGGTGCCTTGTATACCATCGAGCATGTTTTGAATTGGGACATTTCTCCCTCGGCTGTGCTGCCGGCCATTGTCACCTCGCTGATTGCCACGGTGGCTTCTTGGCTGAGAAACATGTTTAAACCCGCTCCGGGCCGGCGTATAGATGCACTTGATCTCTTCTTGTGTCAGAAACCAGACAAGACGAGTTTCACCCAATCCTGATATTGTTAAATTATGTTGTGAGTTGTACGCTGTACAACATGTTTTCACTTGAAGCACACACGTCCGCACCGCAGGGCGGGCTCATGAGTCTAAAGCAGGTTTCGGCCGCAACGCGCTCGCGCGCGTTCCAATTCGTTGTGCGGTGTGTCTTGGCCGCGACTTTGTCTACCTTGGTTTCTACCTGGGCCTTGACTTCACACCCTACGCTACTTTGGACCTCGTTTGCCATCGATAGCTTCGCATTGGTAGCGGAGCCCAAACCCGTGAAGGGGGGAGGGCTCCAGCTGCGCACTCCGGTTCCTCGAGCCGCACGCTCTCGACAAGTCCTTCGGTGACTTCCCTCTGCGGATTTGGCCACGCTCCTGTTTCCTGAGTTCTTTGTTGGACACCCTGTTGGGAGGAGCACGGCGGAGATCTTTGTCCCACAGAATGCCGCCGCCAAAGCAGCAGAAGGGAGATGGAAGAGGAGCGTCGAGCTCGACGACATCCAAGCCAGATGAGACTGGCTATGCTGACCTTCGGGACTCCTATGTTCCCCTCTTCTCCGGGCAGCCGGCCGACTACAAGGAGTGGCGTCAACGCATCCAGCTCTACCACCGCAAGATGTCGCTCTCCAAACGGTCCCAAGAGAGTGTTTTGAACATTGTCGGATCGTTCAAAGGTGTAGTCTGGCGCCTATTCGAAGACTGGGGCATCGACAAGCTGGAGAAGGACAACGCCTTTGAAGACATGCTCAAGGTGTTGGATGGCAATTTCGCCTACGACCAACGGGTCCAGTTGCCATCGGACTTCGAAGGCTACTTCTCAGGTCTTCAACGGCTCCCTGGTCAGACGCTTCTCACCTACGTCAATGACCATGAAGAGGCCTACAGGAAGCTCTTGGCACACAAGGTGAGCCTTCCTGATGAAGTCCAAGGTTGGCACCTCCTCCGTCGTGCAGCGCTGACGAAAGAACAGCGACAACTCCTGATGCTGAAGGCACCCACCCTCGAGAAGGCCACAGTCATCGAGGCCATGTACCTGATTCTTGGACAAGACTATAAGGGTGGAGGTTGGAACCACGACCGCAACCGGCGATTCTCCAAGTGGACCAACAAGGCCTACACTGCTCAGGATGATTGGGAGGAGATGGATGAAGAACCAGTCTGGGAGGAGACTGGCTACTACCCATCGGGGACTATGACCATGAGGAGGGTGATTTTGATGATGAAGCTGGTTACTATGGAGGTCAGGACGATGATGCACCCTGGCCGGACTCCAATAAGACCACGAGTCCAGAGCAGATGGCTGAAGAGTTTGACACTGCCTTCGCCTCCTACACAGACGCTCGCAAACGCTTCAATGAGTTGAAGATGGCTCGTGGCTTTCTCCCTGTGGTTGCACTCACTGAGCAACAGCCTCTGCAGACAGCAGCTTCTTCGTCCTCATCCCCTACGGCATCCTCATGGCAGAGAAAAGGAAAAGGGCAAGGGGGAAAGAACAAAGGAAAAGGTCGCGGCCCCTCGGCGACCATTCGATTCTCCCCACAAGGTGCTGGAAAGAGTGATCCAAAAGGGAGAGCACGCGCCAACATGACGTGCCTTCGTTGTGGACAACAAGGTCATTGGGCTGCAAACTGTCCACAATCCAGCTCGCCTACCTCAAAGGGCTCAAGCTTGAAGCGACCTGCACCAACCGAGAGCATGGCACAAGTGGCTGAACAAGCCCTGATCATCTTCGAGGACAAGAACGGCACTCAGCGTCCTGACTGTGTGATGCTGGATCCTGGTGCCAGTGCCTTTCTCTCAGGATATGGTCCCTTCCGTCGCTACTTGGAGCACCTCAAGTTCGGCTGCAACTTCCCCATTGAGAAGATTGCCATGACCCAAGGAAAACGAAGATTCCAGTTCGGTGGCGATGCTGCATCTTGGTCTACCTGGTCGGCACACCTCCCAGTGTTCCTGGATGGTCGCTATGGAACAGTGCAGTTGTTCCTCTTGCCCGGCAACACGCCTATGTTGTGCGGTCGCCCCATCATAGAGGCTCTTGGCATGACCATGGACTTTGCCATGAAGCGGATCCGCATTGGCAGTTCAAGTTGGCAAGAAGCAACCATTGGCCGTCAAGGTGAGTTTTTGCTCTCGCTCACGATGGAGCACGACCTTATGCAGTACGACCCTGACCAGCCTGACTTCGCCCTCAAGACCGCTGAACCTGATCTACCGCAGATTGATGGCTTCACCCTGCACGACTTTGAGCAGGAGGAACAAGGGTTCACAGTCAGTGAACGAGCTGAAGTGGTGGACGACACTGCCACCAAATGTCTCCGACGACATGACCTCAACACCATGGACGTACAGCTCAGGACTCACCTCAATGAGCTGTCAGCCTATGTGACACGTCACCTACATCCTCCAGAACAACAGCCGAAGCGTGTCCTCTGGGAGGTCTACTGTGGCTCAGCTCGCACTTCACAAGTGGCTGAAGCGCTGGGAATGAGTGTTCGATGCTTCTCATTGGATACTGGCTGGAACTTCGATCGACTTGATCATCAAGAAGCCTTCCTTCGTGAGCTCGATGAAGAAGCACCAGATGAGCTACTCATGGCACCTGAATGCAAGCTCTGGAGCCGCATGCAAACCCTGGCACGAAGAACACCTGCACAGCAAGAAGCACTGATTGCAGCTCGACATCATCACCATGATCGTCATCTGTGCTTCATACGCCGTGCCTACCTCAAGCAGGTTGAAGGTGGACGACACGCCCATGTGGAACAGCCCAAGGATGCGCTCTCCTGGAAGACCAAAGCACTTCGTGACCTGCCTGGTCGACGCGCCGATTTTGACCAATGTCGCTATGGAGCAACATGTCAAGATGAAGACATGGTCTGGCGCCCAGTCAAGAAGAGCACCACTATCATGACCACCAAGCAGGCAATGCAGAATGCCCTCACGCTGACGTGCAATGGTGAACACGATCACTGTGCACTGGAAGGATCTGCTCTTGGTCTTGGCCCTCGCACCAAGTACATGGAGAACTACCAGCCTGCACTTGCAAGCACCATTGCTTCTGCACTCCTCATCGATGAAGCACCTCAAGCTTGGGAGACGGCACACGCGTCTTCAGAGCAGAAGCTGGTGACTGGCAACTTGGTCAAGCTGCGTGTTGATACGAAACAAGAGGCCATCCGAGTGGTTCAACGTCTCCACAGAAACCTTGGTCATCCTTCCACGAAAGAGCTCACCGAACTGCTGGCCGCTCGAGGAGCGAATGAAGAAGTACTTCGTGCTGCACGCTCCTATGTTTGTGTGGCTTGCGCTAAGTACAAGAAGCCTGCAGATGCTGCACCGGCATCTCTACCTGTGAGCACCAAGTTCAACGATGTCTTGCAGGCAGATGTCTTCTGGCTGCGTCTCAAGAATGCCGTCAAGTATCCCGTCCTCAGTGTGGTTGACTTGGCAACTCGCTACACGGCAGCTGTCTTGTTGCGCTCAGAGCAACCCGAGGAGCACATTCGTGGTCTCGAACGTTGCTGGATTGCACACTTCGGAGCCCCACAGCGACTTGTCACTGACGAAGGACGTGGATGGCTTAGTCAGACCTTTGAGACCTGGACCAACGCCCACGGCATCGAGCACACCGTTGCCCCTGGTGAGGCACATGACCGTCTGGCCATCGTTGAACGAAGACATGCCATCCTCCGCAAGTCCATTGAGGTCTACATGGATGATATGCAGCTGAACGACGCCTCTGGCATCAAGGAGGCGCTTACCTACTGTGTGCCCCAGATGAATGGCACGCCTTCAGTTGCTGGCTTCTCTCCGACCCAATGGGTTCTTGGACACCAACCTCAACTTGCTGGCAGTCTTCTTGGTGACAACTTCCGCCCTGGACACTTTGGCGGACATGAAGCCTTTGAGGCCATGCTGAACAAGCGCACCGCTGCTCAGAAAGCTTTGATCGAAGCTGATGCCGATCGTCGCCTTCGACGTGCTCTTGGTGCCAAGTACAAAGGCTTGAACTCCGAGTACAGCCTTGGTCAACAAGTTTGGTTTTGGCGTGACGCCAAACAGCCCGATCTGGTGAAGATTCGTTGGCTTGGCCCTGCCCAGATTGTCATGAAGGAGTTCAAGGCTGATGACACTGGACAGCAGCGAGTGAATGTATACTGGCTGGCCTACAAGACCCAGTTGATCCGCTGTGCACCTCACCACGTCCGTGCTGATGTCAAAAGCTCAGGACATGCCCTGGATGATGTGCAGAAAGCTCTCACTTCGGTTCGTCAGCTCAAGTCTCGAGGAGTGACCAGGTACTACGACCTGCGCCACTTGAACAAGCGCAACCTCGCAGAGGTCGAGACAGATGAGCACTCCGAAGAGCTTCATGGTGATGTGATGGAAGAAGACTCTGACCACGAGATGACACCACCAAGACGACGACCACGCCTACTGCCACCTGGCGTGGAACCTCCTCAGGCCTCAGAAACTGCTGCGGCACCGACCTCCATGCCACCTGGCATTTCATCGGCGGCACCGGCAGTACTCTCGGCTGAGGAGTACGAACCAACATCACCAGCACACACAGAGCCACAAGACATAGCACCACCAGCGGCAGCGGCAGACACAAACGACACGGCAGCGGCAGATACACAAACCCCAGGTCCACTACCACGGGTCCCAAGCTCGATCTCAATATCCGAGCCAAGCGAGGAGCCGCCTGCCATCTCGGCAGCTCCAACACCTCATGCATCACGATCACAAGCAAGCATGACCCAAGAGCGACCGTCGCTCGATCCGGTGACCGCCCAACTGTATGAGACAGTTGAAGGTGAAACCTTTCAGCAAAGGAGAGCTCGACTGAACAAGCAGGAGACTCTCAGCTTCGCGCCTTTCCGAAGCAGACCGAAGCCACCTGACACGAGGCCATATGATCCTGAACATCATCCACCTCGACCAAATGACGAGCATGAGCTAGCTGGCCAGGCCTTCTACCTGGACGACCTGGACACCAAAATGCTGCCCAGCGGATGGTTCATGGATGAACATGGATTCCTCCAACTACATGATCGCACTACCGACTACTGGGAGCTGAAAGCTGGCTGTCTGATCAGGCATCATGTTGTGCCCCGTCGTGGACGCCTACACCTTGAGCATCTTCCCAAAGATTGCCCGGTCAATCCTGACCAGCTGGACAGTGTGCGCGTGACACTGATTCACCAAGGTGGAGGCAAGAGCCGTTTGACCACTGATAGCGGCTATGATGGCAGTCCTCCCCCTGGAGTTGAACACACTTGGACTGGAGCAACCATCTTCCAGCTCAACGGCAATACTCGCAGAGAACTTGCTATGTACAGTGGACACCAACAGTTCACAAGTGCAAAACAGCAAGGAAAGGATCAAAAGCTCGCCAAACAGAAGAAGTTCAAGAAGGACAAGGGCGCGGTGAATGAGCGGGCACTGGGTCCACAAGAGCGAGCGATGTTCAAGGAGGCCAAGGTGAAGGAGTTGAAAAGTTTCTTTGACCACCATGTGTGGATCTTCCAGTCCACCAAGGAGGCAGACCCATCCAGGACTTTGACGTCAAGAATCCTGTTGAAGTGGTCTCGGAACCCTGACGGTTCTCCAAGGGCGAAAGCTAGATTGATCGTGCGCGGTTTTGCTGACCCCGACGCCCTGGCTGGAAGCATTGAGACATCAAGTCCTACCACAACTCGCCTGTCTCGCTCTATGTTGCTGTCCTTGGCCACCACCATGCACTGGACCACCTGGACCGCTGACGTGAGCACCGCCTTCTTGCAGGGGCGTGAACAGGACAGAAAGTTGTGGGTAAAGTTGCCATCGGAAGCGCTGGCTCTCTTGGGTGCAGATGAAGACACCCGCATGTTGCTTCTGAAGCCCTGCTACGGCCAGATCGATGCGCCCAGAGGCTGGTATCTTGAGGCAGTTGACCGCCTTCGCCGTGGAGGTCTTCGGCAACACGCCCTCGATCCATGTGCATTTCTCATCTATGAGACTGATGATGACAACTTCAATGAGCACGACCCCATCCATCAGCAGGTCAACTCACTGGGATCTGAACGCCTGGTGGGCATGGTCATCACGCACGTGGACGACCTTTTGGGAGCCGGCTGCCCGAACAGCCCTCGATATGCTGCAGTCGTTGAACAGCTCAAAGAAAACTTCTCCTTCCGGGAGTGGAAGGAAGATCTCGATGTGATGGAGTATTGTGGTTGTGAGCTGCAGCGCACACCCGAAGGTGGAAGAAAATTGCACCAAGGCAAATACTTTGACAAGGTCAAGCCCATTGCCTATGACAAGAAGTTTCCTCTCCACCAGCCGCTCAACGAGCGTGAAGTGACTCAGTTGAGGGGCCTACTTGGTTCACTGCAGTGGCCCGCAGTACAGACCTCACCACATTTACAGTGCAGCACATCGTTGATGGCCGCCCATGTCTCCCATGCCACTCTGCAGACCGTCCAGGACTGCAACAGGTTGCTGAAGTTTGCAAAAGAGAACAAAGACATTCGCCTTGTCTACAACCACCTCGGTCCCACAGAGAAGTTGCGTTTGTTGTGTTTCTTTGATGCTGGTTTCTCCACTCGCCTCGATGGGTCATCGCAAGGTGGCTATGTGTTGATGGTGGTCAACGAGGACCTCATGCATTCCGCCGAGGAGGGAGAATATCACATTTTGGATTGGCGCAGCTTCAAAACCCCGAGGGTGGCAAGGTCATCTTTGGGAGCTGAGGCGCAAGCTGGCGGTCAAGCCAGCGACGCCGTCGACTTTGCTTGTCGGTTCTGGCACCATCTCATGGAACCCCACATGCCCTTGAAGCAGTTGCTGGAGGTTCAGTCCTCCCTGAAGCCTGTGATGATCACAGATGCGAAAGCTCTTTACGACGCTTTTCATCGTGAAGGTGCAAGCTCATCCGTCGTGGACAAGCGTGTGAGCCTGGAGATTCGTGTGATGAAGGAGCGCTTGCTGGAACTTGGGGGAAACCTCAAATGGATGAGCAGCGATCGTCAGATCGCCGATGGCCTGACTAAGGAATCTGCTCGAAACTTGTTTGCAGCTCGCCTGAAGCACCAAAAGCTGAAGCTCACCTGGGATCCCACCTACAAGGCGATGAAGAAAAAGACCAAAGACGAGAAGAACACAGCCTTGGCTGAGACAACCTCCCAGGTCCATCATCAGAAGCCTGATGACTTCATTCCCAGGTCCGAGGAGATCATGGAAGAGGAGTTTGTTGGCCCGGAGGAGTTTGTGAACTTTGTCCACTCCACGGACATGATTCCGTATGTCCTCGCCACAAGCCATGTCGTGAAGAGCCGCATGAAGTATGACACCAAGAGTCGCTCGAAGAATTTCATGTTTTGGATGATTTTCTTGTTTTTGCTGCAGTGCTGTCAAGCAGCACCTTCTACGTGTTTGGCGGATGGATCACCGCCACCGCCGCAGCTGAGCGATGAGCACTGGTTGGCCCTCTTTGCAGCAGCACCCTTGGCGATTGCAGTGATCGCCTTCCTGCTGGGCCGATGGTCGAAAGGTGAAAAGAAAGAGAAGGAAGAGATGGAGATTGAAGAGGAGAAGGTGACCACCGCTGACGCCTTCACTCAGAAGGATGAGCCTGTTGTCCATGCACGACTTCGGGAAGCCCTGAAGACCGAGCAGGCCAGAGTGAATGAGTACAAGCTGGATTTGGCCATGACGGAGATCCTCAACCTTCGTCCGCTCGTGCAGGATGCTGCGCCCATGTTCCGTCGCCTGATCACCGCGATGGATGATCACATGGACCAATGCCCGCACCGACAGCCGATCGTAGCCTCCAAGAAGAATGGCATCTGTTGGCACTTTCCCACGTGCCACTGTGCGGAGCAGATCACCGAGCCGAACTTGCTGCAACTCCGCATCTGTGCCTACTGCGGAGATCATCGCAGTCCGCTCGACTTCCCGAGTCCAAATCCCTCTGTCTCGCAGGGAAACTGCTTGAGAGAAGAGGTGACTACGTGGCTGGCTGACTACAATGTCTGCCGGTCATGGTTTTCCGACCCTGAGCACAGGTAAGAACATCGCCTGTGTGAGTTGTACGCTGTACAACATGTTTTCACTTGAAGCACACCCGTCCGCACCGCAGGGCGGGCTCATGAGTCTAAAACAGGTTTCGGCCGCAACGCGCTCGCGCGCGTTCCAATTCGTTGTGCGGTGTGTCTTGGCCACGACTTTGTCTACCTTGGTTTCTACCTGGGCCTTGACTTCACACCCTACGCTACTTTGGACCTCGTTTGCCATCGATAGCTTCGCATATGTTAAATTATATGATCAAGACGGCTGCATGTCATGTCACGTCAAACATCAAACAAGCGAGGAGATTTGAATTGTTTCATTTTCTGCTTACAAACCCAGTGGATCCCAGCGGGGTATTCCCTTGTGGCAGTGGCAAGGGACGTATGCTGGAAATACTGACCCATCCGGAACCTCAAACCTGACCACCTCACATCCTCCATGGTATCCATCCACATCGAAACGTTGATCTGAGGTTACCAGCAGTACTGTTGAAACGCATGGCTTGTACTCGATGCCTCGTTACAGACGCTTGCTTGCACCAGGTGTGGCCTCTCAATGGCTCGACGGTTCCTGCGTTTCCCGAGCGTTTGTTGCGAAACAGTTTCTTTCAGTGCATAGGGTAATATAGTTAAGTTTCCCAAAAGATCTAAGAACCTATGAATAGTGCGAGCGTGAGCTATCAGCTTAAGATGCTTAAGTAAGGTTACTAGCTACCTCTTCTACTAGCTACCTAGCTACCTCTTCTCGGCCTACCCCCTTCAAAAGGAAAAATACACACACATGTTTCTTTCTGTATGTACTACGTACTGCGATGCCCCCCGGTGTTGACGAATTTGTGTGTCCCAGTGCTTTGAGCGCTGAAGGTTTTTTCACGGTTTGTGTCCCATCACTCCTTCACCGAGATTCGGTGCCAACACCATCCAACACCGAAAGGGCAAACGTTCCCCGGAGGCTAGACATACTGACAGCCCAAGGGGTTCATTGAGGTTGCTAGTCACAGTGCATCGATGGGCTTTTTTAGAGGGGGGGACTTTCGTGGTGAGCCTTTTCGGAGCTTCCCGGACTCGGGCGATGATGTGGAATCTGGGTGAGTGCAGCCAAGGCTATGAGAATCATGGCTGCAGTTTGATTTGCGCTCAATAGCTGAGGTACAGGCTGTAGTGGTGACCGTTGTTTATGATGTGGTGGAGTCCTGGGACTTGTGTCGCGCAAAAAACGTGTAGTCGGTCAAGTGAGGATTGCGTTGTGTGATGAGGCTTTCCCGGCTTTCCCCTTGTTTCCCACCAGGTTTTCGATGGTTACAGAAGATTCCCTTTCAACACAATCATTAAACACTGGCAGTCAAGGTGCGAGCGTTTCCACCAGCGGCTGGAGCTGTCCGCTCCTGGTTCTACACACCCGTTTCTTACCACACAACCAACATTTTTGCTCGAGAGACTCTTTGTTTGCGAGAGGAACTTGATCAACTCAATTAATTATAGTTATTTTTCATATATTATCATATGATATCGAAGCATGTATTGGTTTTGTTGGAAGTCCTCATCAGTTGGGAAACCGGTGCTCGACCATCACTTGTCCCACCCCCACCTGTGATTTAGTGACTAGAGGACATCCGACATCCTGGGATCAATGAATTGACATAAGCTAGGAACAAGTGCATCGCTACTAGTAACAAGTGCCTTACTACTAGGAACAAGAAGCTACTAGGAACAAGTGCATCGCTACTTGTAACAAGTGCCTTACTAGTAGTAACAAGAAGCTAGTAGAAACCTCTCCCACAACGTCGTCCCGTGAGCTCAGGTGGCCCAACTGGCAGGTTTGCCTTTGGGCGCTGCTGGTGGGGCCTATCGCGGGTTTGGGTGCCTCCGCCTTTCGTCGCTTCGTGAAGTTCGTGGAAGGCCGGACGCACCAGAGCTTCCAACGCAGAGGAAACGCAGAGCTTCCAACGGAGGTTGTCTGGCAGTCATGTGTAAACAAGGGAAATAGATGGAAGTCGATTAGACCCTGACGGTCTGATGGGTTAAAGTTTTGAAGGGTCAAATCCACAAAGAACGCCACGCCAATGCTTAGCCAGTATTATCTGAAACTGCCGATAGGATCCGATAGGTAACTAGTGACAAATGTTAAATCACTGGTTTGTCCTTGGGTTGTCCATGCATTTCATTCTGTCAGACCCCAACCCCCCCAGCGTAACGAGTGGCAAGGCTACAAACCCTTGGGCCGCTTCCCCGTGGAGTTTCACACGGTGAAGCTCAATGACGAAGTTTGGATCACCAAAGACAATAAGGATGGCTCCATCGAACGGGTGCCGTGACCTCATTGAGCGACAGAATGGCTGGTCCGGCTGATGTTGATGCTGATTGCACTAAACGCAGGCATGATTGTCAACAAATTAAGCGGATTAGAACTTAGAACCAAGCTGCACAACCCGCCAAGAGGTAGATTCCAGTTAGTATTCCAGCTAGGTTTTGTTTAAAGGGGAAGACGAGACAATCACTAGCATCGATTAGCTTGGTCCTGAATCTTTCTTCACTGCTGGCTGTGAGGATAATTCTTTTTTCAGATCAAATCCCCACGAAGCTCTGCGGTAGGAACAGAGATGCACTATGACTTGAGAATCATCAAGATCCAGAAGGTCGTAACGAAACCGTGTGTTGCGAGTTCCCAATCAGGTGCTGATGAAAGTCGTTCACATTAAGAAGAACGAAAGTATCACTGTGCCTTGGACGATCGGTACTTCAAGCCTTGATTGTTCCTCAACCCCGTGGGATTCCATGTAGCAACCTGCCAAGCGTTGATAAACATTGGCGACCTCAAGCGATGCTGTACTTGCAACGACTTTGACGGAGATGTATAATATATACTATATAGATCTATATAGTAATACTATACATATGTTCTTGGCTTCTCAACAGAATATAGTTTGTCTCTCAAATTGCTGGAGTTCCCCCACGCAGTTTTGCTCCATGTCCAACCATAGTGGACCAAACGATCGAAGCTTTGCCTGCCAAGGTTCGAGCAGCAGAAGCAGATGAAGAGTATGGAGAAGAAGAAGAGATTCGAGAGGAAGATTGGGATGATTCTGCCCACGCAGAAGGCTTTGCGAGACATAACGCCCAACATGGAATAACATATATATATTGGGTCTGTCCTATTACCTGTAACAGTCAGTAAACAATTATTACTATTTTTGAACAAGACCTTTACTAACCATCATCATCCACTGTTACAGGTATTAATTAGGATAGACCCAATATATACTGTATATATATTATATAAATATACCTAAAAGCATACATGTAAACATAAGCACCATGGTCACTGGGCCAGTTGTTTGGCTGATCGATGCTCATCTCATACGCGGTGTGCAGCACGGCTCAGAACCTGGACGAGGCCTTTAGGAAACACCGCCTGACCAACCAACTCCGCCTGACCAACCTATGCCAACCTCCATTAGGGTCAGTTCTTGAGAGGAATTCCATCATGTATCATCATGTACTGGAGGTAGTCTTAAGGGTAGGACCTGTGTTTGAAGATGCGCTAGGTGGCAGGGATTGGACAATCTTCATCTTCATGCCTTTGGCATTCTTGGTCCTTGCTCTTCTCAGCCGCGCCTTGGAAAGCGAGAGCCATCCAAGCAGTTGCAATCTACGCTGTAAAAACGTTTGTGTACCATGGTTAAGACAAATGGGGTCTGATCAAATGGGTGTCCTTTGCGGCGGATTCTTGCCTTTTTGCGGTGCACCCCTGATGCTGACACACGCTGAAGATGTTGATCACAATCAGCTCCAGTTGTTGCTGCCTGCTCAAACGGCCGACACCTGCCAAATCCTTAATGCAGGCCCTCCGTGACTTCCAAGTGGATGCCTAGAGTCCCGGTCATCTCATCTCCGATGGGACTCATGTTCTTTTATTGTTTGATCCATGAACCACTCAGCCACCACCAGCTTCATTCTTTCGCAGGAGATTCCTCATCTTCCCTTTTGTAGACTCCCAGCACCTGCATACATCCACCAGCAGAAACTCCTACACCAGTTGCCGATCCAGACAATCTTTTTTTCAAATCAATCTGGGAACCAAACAAATAGTGCGAATGCTTCTTCAAGGAAGCTTCCAGCGGGTTTCAGGCGGGAGGAGCTTCCTTAAAGAAGCGGGAGCTATCCTGCGTCCTAGCTATTACCTAGTAGATTGTCTTAAGTAGCTGCCTAATTAAGTAAGGGTCGCGGGCCGCGGGCTTTAAATAAAACCGAAACAAACACATGGAGAGAGGTTGTTCGAGTTGGTCACTGATCCATCCCCCCCGGTATTGCAAGCAGATCGGTAACGACCCACCGAGGAAACTACCCCAGCTTGCTGGGCAATGGCCGTGCCCTGGCAGAGATCGCCATGCAAAGGCGCGTTGAAGGGCAGACGGTCGTGGTCGGAAAAGGGTGAGATGGAGAAGACGAAGAAGTGCTTGGAACTACTAGCTTCTTGTTACTACTAGTAAGGCACTTGTTCCTAGTAGCGTGGCACTTGTTCCTACTAGCTTCCTGTGTTCATGCAGTTTTTGGTAGAGTTGAGTGTTATATTTTTTTTCGTTTTGCTGGTCATGTTGAAACACACCAAGGTTAAGATTCCCTAAAAATATAGGAACCAAATCATTGGCGCGAGCTATCCTGCGTCCAGTTACTAGTAGCTTACTTGCAGGTACTAGCTACCTCTAGCTACTAGCGACTCCCTAACTCTACTAGCGGCCCCCCCCCACCAACAACAGAAAGAAGACCAATCCGGATGATTGGCGAACGATGTTTGTGTGCGCTCGGCGAACCTTAGGGAGAGCTATGCTTGATCTCGTTTGGCGCCAAAAAGCAAAACAATCTCGAGTGCGACACAAATACCTATAATTTACACAAAAAGGGAACAGGAACTGGTTACATAAGTTGAAGAGTGGATAGATTGAAAGTAATTCAGCACCTTTAGTTTCACATTCCCCAAGTCCCCAAGTGAAGCCTCTATATAGATTGATTGCCGTGCAGTTTATGAGCCTGGTTTGGGGGGCATGACACCCTCTGAGCGGCATAGCTGTGATTCACAACTCAGAGCCAGGCAGAGAAGCACACCCTTCTTGGCGATGTTGCTGCTGCTGAAGGCATCACAAGATGTGGAGTGGAGTGGAGTTGTTTGTAATGCTATATTATCATTTTTTGGAAGCCTTGATATTCGGATCTACCTGATTTGCATTCTGTCAACGCGCACCCACTATTGCCAATTCTCAGACAAGACGAACAATTACACCGGCATAGACCTTAGTTAGCAGCTGGCAACTAACCAAAAACTCAGGCACCTGAGACCAACGACCAGATAATTCACAAAAAATCCATGCGAGCTTCCGATTACCGTGAGTGGGTCCAACAACACCTCTCCGCGTGACCCACAAATCTCGTCATCTTTTCTTCGGGCTCGGCAGGCCAAATCTGGTCTTCACAGCTAGTGCAGCTAGTACAGTGATCAGGTAAATTCTATGTCTACCCACTCCAAGCAACACTTGATTGTGGATCACGCCTTGCAAGTTGGAACCTTTCATTTGGACTGGTTTGAGAATCGATTGTTGGTGAAGGGGTGCAAACGGGGAGAGAAGTGGGGAGACAAGTGCAAGACAGCAGTGGCAAACAAAGCGTCGACCACTGACCACACAGGCAGACAAGTGGGGAGACAAGTGAGGAGACACGTAAGGAGAGAAGTGGGGAGACAAGCAAGGAGACAAGGCAGCAGTGGCAGACAAAGCGCCGATGACATAGGCAGACAAGCGGGGAGACAAGGCAACGCCAATCAGCCACCGAGTCATTGAAAAGTAAGAGCCCCTATAGCTTCCGGCTATTTTTTTTTGCTTGGAACTGATACAGTGGAACAGCTGGGAGATTGAAACAACGACAGCCAGATGCTGATGTATGATCGTCATGAAAGATTACAGACATAATTTGTAGATGACCAGGGCGAACATGCATGACTGAACCTCATGATGCGTCATGCATGACACCTCCTCGAGGAGAGGCCAATAGTTAGGAACCCCCATCCACCGTCCATCCAACTGGTGATGCTGGTTGCAATTTCGGTCGCCAGAGGCCTTAATGACCGCTGCGGCCATCGGCTCTGGCGCAGCTGGAGGGACGTCACCTGGCGGGGCTGGACGCCAACCCAGCCATTGAGAGAAACATAAATATTGACATACCTAGCAAATGGTAGTGCTGGTTGGAACCGGACAAGAAAAGGGCCAAAGGACAGAACAAGAGGTTGAAGAGATTGAATGGATCTTTACAGAGAAAACTACGAAGTAATTAAACAGTTTGAACCTCAATCATACAGAATCCATGCAGAATCATATAGATTAGACAATGTATAGAAATGGAATTCGGAAACAAGTTTGGTTGCGACTCGCGACCCAATCCCCATATGACAACCATCACATTGTTTGAGATGTACGTTCTTTCTGATTAAAGCATCTAGTCTAGATGAAACCACAATTGCCATAATAAACCCTTTTGGAATATTTTGGAGATAAGTCATGAAACCACCACCAACCACCCAAATCACTTGCACGTGCCCTTCAAGGATGGTGGGTTTGCTCGGGTAACACATGCCCGAGGCTGACGCCATCTGTTGCCTTGGGTGCCACTCTGGGTGCCGTTCTGGGGGAGCCCGTTGGGGGGGAGTGGTGCGTGGATGGCTCCGTCCAATCAACTCAGGGAAACAAGGATGAATCGATGAATAATGATAACCTATGTGAGTGCCTTTTTGAGCTGCATGATTGAAGACTTATTTCTTATCATAACAAGCAAGCAGCAAGGATCATACACAAATAAACAAGTGGTCGGGCAACGAGAACCAACACTTGTGGTTATTAGCAATCGTCCAGTTACTGCAATATATTGCAATATTGAAGCCCTTGTAATGCCTCCATACAACCGGCAATCAATCAGTATAAACTGAGGCTTCAAAATGACAGGGAACGTCAGTCACCCAGCACTCGTTTCAATAAGTACCAACTGCAAAGACACATCGAGGCGTGCCCCTTGTGCGGGTTCTGAGCATTCGGGTCGTCAGGAGCCCTACCAGCACCACTTTCCAAACTGGGCTCCGGCCGAGGACTCCGAGCCCAAAGGAAAGTCAAGACACTTGTGCAGATCCTACTCATTTGCCATCAGCCTCCCACCAGCCCGTATCAGCCCTGGTTGCTTTGTATCGTTTGTTCCACCGCCAAAGGACCGACTCAGCAACGCTTGGCAGATGACACAGACCTAAAAGGCTTCCTTTGTCAAGAGGGAGCTCTGTGTGCACCTTCATTGTCTATTTAATCGATGTCCTTTTTTTTGAGGACCAAGATTCTCGCATGTCCGTGGTTGCGGCTGCTGCCTTCTTGTCGGTTGCCATGAACAGCCCCGTGTCTTTGGCGGAATGTTTTGACCAGACGAAATCAAAGACACGCAGCTTGACGACTGTGAAAGTGTGCCTGCGAACAGGCATTGGGCTCAAGTCAAGCAGGCTGCTTCCTGCAAGGTTCTTTGGAACTTGTAGGACCGCGTATCCAACAAGTGGCCAAGCAGAGGCTCATCGAAAGCTACTTGTACCAGTACATATTGAGGGTACATGGACTAGCATAGATCCTTGGTCCAAAGGCCATGAGCCCCTTGTACAGTAGCTCGCCCTAATTGGAAAGCATATATACATCGGACAAAAAAAGAAAACAGAAATCATTGACATTCGGCTAAGGAGACACTTGCCGCACCCTGCCCACGATTTCCGAAATCATGCCTCCTTGAAACACCCTGAAACATCCTCCCAAAAGCAAATAGCAATTGGTCAGTGGGAATCGGTGAGCGTTGGTGTGGACTTCTTTAACTCAAGTTCTTGCAGTCGCACTCAGAATCCTTTCCAATCAGTGGCCAAGAGATGACTCGCTCAAAGGGAGGGCAAAAGACATCCATCAAGCTGGGTGCCCGGATTGACAAGAACGTCAAGGCCGAGAGATCCCTGGCCTCTTTGGATTTCTGTGCTTCGATGAGGCTACTAGCTTCTTGTTACTACTAGTAAGGCACTTGTTACTAGTAGCGAGGCACTTGTTTCTACTAGCTTCTTGTTACTACTAGTAAGGCACTTGTTACTAGTAGCGAGGCACTTGTTTCTACTAGCTTCTTGTTACTACTAGTAAGGCACTTGTTACTAGTAGCGAGGCACTTGTTTCTACTAGCTTTTTGTTACTACTAGTGATGATACTGTCATTTATACGACTAGAGATTATTGTTGCAAGTTGCAAAGCAACCCGTAGGGACTTGTGTTGGATGTAGTGCTTTCATTGCTGTAATGCTAAGTCAAGAAGTCCGAGCACCATTTGGAACCTGAAGGTGACAGCAGACATAGGTCAGCACATGACCTTGTTTTCATCATATTTCATCATACTAGTATGCCTGTTGAGCTTCGTACTGGGCAGCTCCCACTTTGGCAAGACCTTTGCATCACTTGCTAAGGAGGCCAAGCAGAGACACTGGATTTCAGGTCTGCAGCTGCAGCCCCAGAGTTTAATGTCGCGGATCCTGTGGCCCATGCCACAGGCAAGAGAGTGGCAACGACCTCTGGGATGAAGACAGTCTTCGCTGCGGAGTCCTCCCTCAACATCGCGCGGCGAATCCGAAATGCTAGCGTCCCTTTGGGCTGTGCGGTGGAAGATGACGCCGCAGTGACGGAAGACACTTTTTACTGCACCAAGGCATTGGTAGGAGCATTGATTTCACTGTTCGTCGATGGAACAATGAACTGCTCCACCAACAGATGCTTTTTCCCCAGATAGCGAAGCTATGGGGTTCTTACTTCAAATAACAATGAGTTTCCCGTGCGCGCTTTCGAGACAGGTTGCTGGTGCTGGGTGCCGGTGCTGGTGCTGGTGCTGTGAGATGGCTGTGCACGCGGTGGAGACAGGTTGCTGGTGCCGGTGCTGGTGCTGGGTGCTGGGTGCCGGTGCTGGCGTGGTGGAGACAGGTTGCTGGTGCTTGCACCCGGTGCCGGGTGCCGGGTGCCGGTTCTGGTGCTGGTGCTGTGAGCTGGCTGTGCACGTGGTGGAGACAGGTTGCTGGTGTTGGTGCCGGGTGCCAGTGCTGGTGCTGGTGCTGGGCGCCGGTGCTGGTCCTGGTGGTGAAGCTTGCATATGTGAGGGGGTCTATTTTCGGATCTTTTTCCCAGATAGCGAAGCTATGGGATTCTAACTTCTATCAACAATGAGAGCTGCCTGCGCGCGCTTTCGAAACAGGTTGCCGGTGCTGGTGCTGTGAGCTGTGCACGTGGTGGAGACACGGTGCCGGTGCCGGGTGCTGGCTGTGCACGTGGTGGAGACAGGGTGCCGGTGCTGGTGCTACGTGGTGGAGACACGGTGCCGGTGCTGGGTGCCGAGTGCCGGTGCTGGTGCTGTGAGCTGGCTGTGCACGTGGTGGAGACAGGGTGCCGGTGCTGGTGCTGGGTGCTGGCTTTGCGCGTGGTGGAGACAGGGTGCCGGTGCCGGGTGCCGGTGCTGGGTGCTGGCTGTGTGCCTGGTGGAGAGGAGTTTGTTCGCCAGATAGTGACAGCTATGGGGTTTGTATTATTTCCAACGACAATGAGCTGGCTGTGCGCGCTTTCGAGACAGGGCCGGTGCCGGGTGCTGGTGCTTGCTGTGGTGCTGGTGCTGGGTGCTGTGAGCTGGCTGTGCGCGTGGTGGAGACACGGTGCCGGTGCTGGTGCTGGGTGCTGGCAGTGTGCGTGTGGAGACAGCGGGCGCCGGTGCCGGTGGTGTGAGCTGGCAGTGCGCGTGGTGAAGGCTGCTGCGCGCGTGGTGGAGACAGGGTGCCGGGTGCTGGGTGCTGGGGCTGGGCTGGGTGCTGGTGCCCGCTTCTGACAGTGAAGTGATAACAACCGCCGCTTCTAACAGTGAAGGGTAACAAACTGCCGCTTGCAGCAGTGAAGGGCGACCAAGCGCCGCTTCTGACAATGAAGTGCCAGCATTCAGGGGCCGCATGAACCTACGCACGCAACATCATACGGTGTCGTCGCTTGAGCGTTCTTTGTCTACTAGCGCTGTGGGGTATCTACACTCTTGAGGTTTTGTTTTGGCCGACAGCTGTGTCAGGGGCTGTACTGTTTGCACGCATACTTTTGTACGTATAATATGTTCTATGCGCAACATCAGGCTCTCAACCGACCATTGTGTTAGCATGTTCCAGCATGCTACACACACAATAGTCGTGGATACTGCTTGGCCTTGGGCGAGGAACACGTGTTCTTTTCCCGACAAGATTTGCACGGTAATCGACAAGATTTTCCATATACACGACAGAAACGAAATGTTATGTTTGACAAAGACTAAGGGGTAAGGTCCGACAGAGACGTTACTTGGTTGCTGTTGGGTTTAGAGGCTGTGTGACGTGTGACACTGACCGCAACTGTTGAGGTTTCACCCGGTCTCACCGATGGATCATTTCTCAGTGATTTCTTATGTCTTACACAGAAGCATCTAGATCAGTGATTTCTTATGTCTTACACAGAAGCATCTAGATTGTAAGTTGACCTGAAAATTTCGATGTTTTTCAGATAGATATTAAACAAAATGTAACTAAATAGGTGTCACTGCATCGACAATCTGACAACTAAATTGATCCAGAGTTCGACAAGCAGACGGAGCCGGGAGACATTCCTTTTTCCTGCAGGAGGTCGACGAGCGAATGGCCACCATCAAAGCGCACCGGTGAAAAAGCGGCTGCACAGAGTTTGCATTTCCTTAATTGCTCATTCTTGTGTTAACGGATAAATTTTTTCAGTAGGTGAAGCTTCGTTCCCTCCCTTCTCAGGTTGTCGGGCTTGTAACTAGCAACTTTTGTCAAGACTTTGCATTCGTTTTTTGTCGAGCGTGAATTGTTTTCTTGTCGAGCTCCTTTTTGGCCAACCTGGTCGAGTTTAAAACACACCCTCTTGGGCGAGTGAAGCCTACGGGCTTTGCCGTTTGTGCGCATACTTTTGTGCGCGTAAACTTATACGTGCAAGATCATACGGCTTTATCGTTCTGCAGATCGTTGCCTCAAGCATGCTACAAGGTCAATAGTGGTGCTGGATACTGCTTGGCCTTGAGCCAATGACACTTACGGGCTTTGCTGTTTGCGCGCATACTTTTGTGCGCATAAACTTATACGCGCAAAATCATCCGTTGTTATTCCCCAAATAGGGATAGCTGGGGGTTCTTGCTGCAAATAAGAATGAGCTGGCTGCGCGCACTTTCGAAAGGGTGTCGCTGGTGCTGGTGTTGTGGTCCTGGGTGCTCTTGCCGTGAGCTGGCTGAGCACGCGTTTAAGACGGGCGGCGGCGCTGGTCGGGTGCTGGTGCCGCTGCCGGTGTTGTCAGATGGCAAAGTGCACCGGTGCTGGTGTCGGCTGATTGTGCGCGCCGTGGAGGTGCCGTAAGGTGGCTGCGCAAGCTGCGTACATTCTTGTTCCAGCCAGTCGCATGTCAACAGGTCGTGGGACTCTGCCTGCCTATCTGGGTCTATGCTGGTGTAATTTTTAGCATGCCCGCACCTCTTTTGCTGTACCTAATGCTTGGTCAGTCGATCCTTTTGCTTTTTCGGGGTGTACCTTAGCAAGATGGCTTTGGTTAGAACAGACGGCTTTGGTTTTTGCCAATTCAGGAGCTGTCAGTCGAATCCATGAATCTCAGTTTCAGCCGATGCTTGATGCCTCGGAGACCGGCATGGTCCTACGAAGTCAGTAGCTTTTACTGCAACAAGTGCAGTTGCCAATGATGCGAACAATTGTTGTTAGCTATATTAATCCACCTACGCCAGGTTTACGGGCATTTGTCATCCTGCTTGCCGCTGAACTGCCGCACTGCTCGTGTGTTCAGGCAGCGGGCGCTTGCACCACAGGGAGGCTCAAGCCTTCAAGTGACTCGACGAGCTGATTGGGGTATGTTGAAGGGTCGGATGAGCTGGACAGTAGTTTTGAAGTTTGGGCAACTCTTCTACATCAACCCTGTCACAGAATAGACACATGTAACTACGTAGCTACCCTAGTTCTGTCGTGGAATAGCCTCGCCAGTCATCATTGAACTCTATTTCCCCTAGATTCTACACCGGCACCCTTGATGAAGCTGGCCTTGGGCCAAGGACATGATTTTTTTTTTTTGCTTTTTCGCAATGCCTAAAATTTCATCACGGTTGATTCGATTTTGGAGTTGACTTGAAGCGGCTTGAACTGCTGTTTGTCGCTCCCAATCTCTCTCTCTCTCACAGAGGCAGTGGCTAACCGATGCTACTTGTACGCACAGAGCGATTTTCAGCATTCACTGGGGTTGGGTCAAGGTTGCCAGACACTAGTGCAGTTTCTTGATTGGCAACACGCAGCAGCTAGAACAGAAGTGGGTGTTGCAGTGTTTGTTCGACTAACTAGTTTTGCTCTGACCAAATTGACGATTATTCTTCTCCTTGGAGCCCCAATGCATTGCCAGGTGCAAGAGCTGATTCAAAAAACGGGGCGGCTATCCACCGGCCTACGACACCTGACTGAGATTGGGCGGATAAGCACTCTGTAACATTTGCCAGTTCAGAGGCCATTTGCAGGGATGTAACCCTGGTCTTTCCATTCCCATCGACAGTTCCGAGTTGGATATGCGTGTAGACGATATTAGACGATCGTGTTTGTGAGCTTTCGAAGAACTGAAGCGGAGGGCTCAAGACGCAATGGCAGGGCTGCCCAAGGTTGGGGGGAAGGTGATAGTCAGTTGTGTCTTGAGAGTGGGGAATGGAATCCCACAGGCCCCCCAAGATCCCACAAGTACAGATTTCAACAACAATAATAAATGAGCAATATCTTCAACACAAGTACAATATAATTAGAGATACAGTAGCGAGAAACGAGCTCAACAGTAGCGATTTCCAGACAACAGTATCCAACAATCGAGATTTCTAGGTGTACTACTAGGAGCAAGGACGCTACTAGGGGCTCCTGGCCGTACTACTAGGAGCAAGGACACTCACTGCGTGCATCGCTTCACCGTTCCACACTTAGAAACGACACTTCCTCACTTCATGTAGTGTCACCTTCCCGCCGGCTGTGCCAGTACCATGCACAAGATCCTATCTCAATTCACCGAAGGAAACAAAACAACACCACAACATGTGAAAGACACCCCTCTCCAGCTTGGCAGAAACTGGTTGCACCATGGTTTGGCCTTGGGATGCTTGGGATTCTTGTGGTTGCGACGGGTTTCAACACACACTGGAATGATTTCGGGTTTGCTCCAGGAAACCAATCTCCAAGTCTGGCGTCAACTTTGGCGAGTCCTCGAGCGGTGTCATGTGGCGGTCTGTGTGATCGATGCCAGAAGTTTGATCAAAGAGAGAACAGAGTTTTGCCCACCTTTTTAAGTTTCTTGTTTTTTGGCACATTTTGTTCTGGTGGATTGATTTTTATGTGGAGTTTTGCCTTCAGGGTAGGAACCAGCCTTTCACATTGGCCCAGCTGGACGTGAGGTTGGTTTGTTTTGTTTGAGTCTTTGCTTGTGGCTGAGGACATCCGTTGCTTCATTTGCCACCAGCGTTGATTTACCACGTGAGCAGCACCTTATCGTGGGATAGTTTGACATTTTTGTTATATACAGCTGCAGCTGGCTTTGGTTCCTCTGCATGTCTCCATGGATGGGGTTGGCGGATGTCCTAGTCACAGCAGTTTTCCGCACACTACTGTAGACTCTAGACATCGGCGGATTAGATGTTGCTGATTTTGACCGCTTAGATTCAGCATCCCATCTTCTATCAAGTAGATCCCATGACCGGTGGGCAGAAACAGCTACAGGACGTGTTGTTCTGCGGTAGCCCACGGTGGGCTGGTGATGCTCAGTTGTCACGCGGCGTGAAACACGGCGATCCTTGTGACAAGGGCAGTGTCGTGATTTGTGACGTGAAGGAGGGTGAATGGCACTCAGGCACTCTGTTTGCAGTGATGTAGCATGTACAGGTTTGGTATGGTGATGAGTTGGTCGTTTGTGGTGAAGATGTGCCGTGATGGGCCCGTGTGACGATGTGTCCGTTGAAAAGTCTAGCGCGGTCCACGTTGTGAAATCCACGAACCACTTCAACACCGAAACGGATCCATTGATGGCGTGACCTACCGCGCTACGGCCTGGGTTGACAATAGACAGAGGGGATCATATCGCCCCTGTCGTGTAGCCACCACCTGGTGGTGAATTGCTTGTTCTTCCCAAAGGGACATCAGAACGGATCCTTTCAATGCCCTGACCTACCAAAGCTCACAACTGCGAAAGCCAGCCAGTAGGCCCAGTAGGCTAGGCCGCAGCTAGTTTCTGCAAACAGTTCTGAGCTTTTATCGTGGGGGGGGCAGCCAGCCGCGAGAGTGTGAGTAAATCGTGGAAACTCAAGCGTGTTTTTACTTTTGGTAAAGCCCATTTAAGTGGTATGCAGAAAATGCAAGTCTAGAATGCAGAAAAGCGGCATCATTTCCATCGCGATTTTTGTCGCAGATAGCTATCAGAGCCGCATTGCTTATTGCTGCTGGTGCTGCTGATCTTCCGCTCCTGGTTTGCTGGTTTGCTGGTGATTTGCTGCTGGTGTTGCTGGCTTGCTGCCGGTCTGCTGTTTTGGCAGCTGGTGTGGCAGGTCATGAGAGCACACTTCACATTAGTGCACCAATCTCTGAATGACATCACCCAGACGAAGATCTCTGGGTTGATTGCGAGATGGGTTCATGTACCTCAGAGTCAGAGTGGTCAATAGCAGAGCTACGGAAAACCTGTGTGGGGTTGGAGGGAGGGACTTGTCAAGACACCAATTTTCCATTATTTTGGACCAAGCTTTGGATGTTATGATGTGTTTCTCGGAGAGGAGTCGGTAGAAAGACAACGATGTCTATGGTAGGAAAAACCGGCGACGCCCGCGTCTCATTGCCCAGGAACTCTGCGGACACTTGGTTGACGTTTGAGATATGTGTTTTTTAGGTCGTTGAAAACTCAAAGAGTTTATGAGCAGCGAGCAGTCTTACATTAGTTGTTTGCAGGCTTGAAAGTAATGACTTGTACCAGGAAACCTTTGATTGTGGTCTTGAACAAGTTGGATGCCGTGGACCCTGCCAATGCCACAAGCTGGGCAGAGGCCCTGTCTGCAGTGCCCGGCATTTCGGCGATTGTGGGCTACTCCAAGGAAAACTTGAGGAAAACTGACTTCAAATCGCTGAGGCTCAGCATCAAAGGAGAGGGGGAACGCCGTGACCACCCGGAACTCACAGCTTTGCCAACAACAAGGGATTGTGATTCGCATGAACTGTTTCATTTTTCAGTAAAGCGTACAATTGCAACATCAGGGCTCGACGGGTATGTACAGGTGGAAGGCGGAAAGCAAGACATACATGTCCTTTTGACCGATTCTTTTTGCTCAGGAAAGTTGGCAAAGAGTCCTTGATTGAGACCTGAATGCATTTGCCAGCAGGAGAACACATGAAATGCGGCATACGATAGCATGTGCACAGTAGCAAATTGAAAAAAATACCAATAGGGTGAGTCGTCAGCAGTTTTATCATGTTTTATCCCATTCCTTGTGTTACAAAGGAAGTCAGTCACCAAGTTTACGACTCCGTGGCCAAAGATGCCAAGCAGACCAAGCAGGCGGCTTTGATGCTTGAGCACTCGGACATCGAGGATTTGGCCTTCATTGAGTCCAGGGACTTTACCGGTGCTCGCAAGGGATATGTCTTTGGAACTGGCCCACAGGGAACCGGCTTCTACCGAGACCGAGCGCAGCTGGCACAACCTTGGGCACAGCCGGCAGCACCGGTTGCGACCGAAGCGGAGGAAGAAGCTCCGGAGGAGGAGGTGAGTAATGAGGTGCAATTCCTCCGAGTGATTAGATTAGAGAGGTGTTCTCTGGGTCTCAAGTAGATTGATTTCCAATAAATTCAAAGCACCATGCAGCCAATGTTGCCTGTGACATGACTGCGTCGGTGTAAGATACCGGCCACTGGCAGCGGAAGGTAGCCTCTGGGAGCATCATGCTTGGACTCATTGGCCATCCGAATGTGGGGAAATCCTCCATGGTCAATCACTTGATGGGCGGCCTTCTTGCATTATGACGATGGTGTCAGGTTTGATGAAGGGTAATTCTCTAATTTTTGTATATTACAACATTTTGGTGTTGGCGCGTGGCTAAAGAATATGGTGCAGTCGCTCTACTTGAATACTTCCTTGGATTGTCCTTTTCTCCACATTTTTGTGTGGGGTTCCTAAGTTTACATTGCGAGAGGGATCAGCGTCTTCCGCTCCAACCGCTCCATCCGCTCCATCCGCACCATCCGCTCCATCCGCTCCATCCGCTCCATCCGCTCCATCCGCTCCATCCACACCATCCGCTCCATCCGCACCATCCGCTCCATCCGCACCATCTGCTCCATCCGCACCATCCGCTCCATCCGCACCATCCGCTCCATCCGCACCATCCGCTTCATCCGCACCATCTGCTCCATGCGCTCCATCCGCTCCATCCGCTCCATCCTCTCCATCCGCACCATCCGCTTCATCCGCACCATCTGCTCCATGCGCTCCATCCGCTCCATCGTGCAATGTCGTTTTTCTGGCACTTCTTCAGGAAACCGCAGCCATTTCCAAGGAGGATAACCGCTCTCAAGAGTGTCATTCGAAACTCCCAGGCTGGAAGCGCCAGAACCACCTTAACGTCTAATTCTTTCTGATGCCTTAGACTGGCGGTCCGAACTCCCAACCTTGCAATGTTTGTTGAAATTTTCAATGTTTCTAAAGTAGAAGGGTCCATGGAAGGTTCTTTGTCGCCCGTGACTCAGCGTGACTTAGTGACTTACATTGGAAAGGACACTGGATTCGTTCGTTTTTTTGACTTTTTCGACTTTTTCGGATTTTTCGACTTTTCGGAATTTGTGACTTTTCGATTGGGCCCGAGACAAAATGAACTTTTCAACTTTTCGGATGTTTTTCTTTTCCTTTTCGAATGTGTCCGAAAGCCAAAATCAATTTTTTGAGCTTTCGACTTTTCGACTTTTCGCGCTCCCAACGGACATTTTCATTTTCGAATCAGGAACTAGATTTTACTAACGCTGTGACCTGAAAGGTCTTGGTCGGTACGTGGGATTGACTGCTTAAGCGCAAGGTTTACACCGTTCTCACCGGTAGACCAGCGTGCCGGTAGAAAAGGTTGAAGTAGCTTGGGCTGCTGCTTGCAGCTGTCAATTGTATATGTGCCATCTTCGTACTCTAACTCAGAGACCCAATCCCTCCGCCCCAGTTTCTTGCGTTTTTCAACGCGTCAGCCTTGAGGAGGTTGTTGTTCTGTCCAACGATCGAGTGCACGCCCGCAGCGCTGGTCCTCTGGCGCTCGAGCGCACGCCGAGCGTCACGTGTGAAAGGCTGTCAGAGGCACCGCAAGCGGCGCAGAAAGCGCAGGTGGCGCAAGTGGCGCAGGCGGCGCAAGCGGCGCAAACGGCGCAGGCGGCGCAGGCGGCGCAAGCGGTGCAGGCGGCGCAAACGGCGCAAGCGGCGCAGGCGGCGCAAACGGCGCCAGCGGCGCAAGCGGCGCAGGTGGCGCAGACAGCGCAGACGGCGCAGACGGCGCAGGCGGCGCAGAAGATGCAATCGGCGCAAGCGGCGCAGGTGGCGCAAACGGCGCAAGTGGCGCAAGTGGCGCAGGCGGCGCAGGTGGCGCAAGCGGCGCAACCACATGCGCAGACACGCTTTCCGCTCGCAGTGTAAGTTTATATCTGTGTCCCATTGCCCGGCCGCCCGACCCTTGACTTCACTCACTCAGTCAGTCACTCAGTCACTCACTCCCGCCCGCGCCCTCACGCCAGTATACAGAAACTGCTTGCTACGTACAATTCCATGGTTGAGCGACTTTTACTGTGTCAAGTTTGATGGGTCGTCCATGCTTGATAGGCCTCCATTGAAGGACATGTGTGAACCTGTTGTCGCAACTGCTGAGGAGCAAAGCTAGTCTCGTCATCCACCTATGCACCAAAAGGCAGATATATATAATTATATACAATTACAATTAATTAGTTTGTTCCATTCCAAGGCTTGGAGAAACGTAAAAGTCTACCTAGGTCCAGCGCATGGGTGGAATTTTGGTGAGGTTTCCTAGTAGCGATGCCAGGAGCCCCTAGTAGCGTCCTTGCTCCTAGTAGCGATGCCAGGAGCCCTTAGTAGCTTCTTGTTCCTAGTAGTAAGGCCAGGAGCCCCTGGAGTGATTCTCTAATTCCTCCTGAAGCGCCAAAGCAAGGTGAGAAGGTGGTCAGCGTGAAAGCCACACCCGGGCATACGAAAATCCTACAGACTCTCAAGCTCAATGAGACGACCTTCTTATGTGATTCGCCTGGAGTGGTCTTTCCAAGACTGGAAGTTCCACGAGAAGCACAGATTGTTGGCATCATGGATTAATATGCAGGGTAGTGTGTTCTTTATCACGAAAGCGATCTCCGGAGGTCAGCTGAAGTGCTACTAGTAGTTGCCTCTCAAGTTGTTTGGATGCTCACCAACATGCTTCAACACATTTCAACACGACAATGCAACTGACAGAGATGGCCACGGTCCGGACAAATCCGTCAATCGGCTTGGGATAGAGTTCACCCAATATCCATCATGAAGACGAGGAAAAACTTGTAGGAGTTTTGCTTTCCAAACATAGATTCTACATGCTATACTGTATATATTATATAAATATATTAATTGCATGTTATATTATACAATCACCTGTATGCTTCGACGGGGTCCTGCACATGAGGACATATGCCTCCATCAATTCAGTGAAGCCCACTTTGCTTCGTGCCAGAATCATCGATACGTCTTAGTCACAGTCATGGAACAGGCACACATCCCGCTCGCAGCGTAAAGTGCAGCATGAGCATGAGCATGTTCCCCTTTTTCCAAGGTATGCTGGTACCCTTGGCCCAAGTTCGCGAACCTTTCTCTGCCATCCGCTGGGTGATGGAGCGATCTTTACGGCCCATGCCAGATCTTTTGGGCCTCAAGCCTGTCCCTTTGAGACGCTGATCGAAAAGAGTCGAGGTTGGTCCCATTTTTGTCTCAAAGACCTCCTTTTGCTGTTGGTGTTCGATCTTTTCAATTCAAACACGCAAATGTTTGGAACTGCACGAGACAAGTTCTCAGGACGTGTCCGAGAATTCTTCGATGCGGGACTTGAGCACCTCACACTGCACAAGGTTTTCTTAGTGGTCCAACACGAAGAAAGATGAGGGACACCAAATTATGAACAAATCATATGAATTCAATTGATTAACCTCTCTTGTTGTATCTTGCCCCTTCCAGAGCATACTGTAATTGAGCCATGCTGAGCCAATGCTTCATCGCTCTAGCTGCTTGAGTCAGATGTTTGTTCAGTTTCGAATAAACGGCTCAATGATGCAATACACTTATAGAGGACCCTGTTCATCCCCTTGTAATCTCTTTTAGCAGCCGTTCGAATGTATAGTAGTATATAGTCATGCAATGATCAGACGACTCATAGAAGTTTTAGGGAGGCCCAGAAACACTAGCCAATTACAAAGGCAACAGCCCATTCAGTTGGAACCTAAAGCCTAAAGCCATGCATGTCATTACTAAACAAGACACTGTGATGAGGACTCTTCAGCTCAACTTGGTTGATGCAGAAGATGAAAATGAAGTTGTGCCGTGGTCGCCAATGCTCTTGTGCGCACAGTTTGCTGCACAACGCGGCTTTGTGCAGAACGGCCGGCCTGATTGCATGAAAGCAGGGACAGAAATCCTTGAGAGAGTTCCTTTGCTGAACCTAAAGCGTGAGACGATTGTCACTGAACAATGTACACCTTCAGCTCTTCAGCAGTACATGTATGTAGCTGAGAAGCTGAGAGGACATTATTTGTGTTTGTTCACACCATGTCACCCAGCTCACTCACATGGGCGTGGGAAAATGGACGGGACCCTTAGAAGACTACATTCCTTTATAAACTTGGCGGTTGTCCATCCACTTCCATATGAGTCAGTCATTTACTTGTAGTTGGGTTGACAGGTCTCGTAGCCACCTTGCTTTGCTGAGGTTCTTCAAGGTCGTATTGCCTACTGTGTCCCTCCCCCGACAGATGCATCTTGTCCCGAGCTGCCTGAAGATGCCTGCGATAGCGATTGGAAGGCGTTCGATGAAGACTTCGAGAGCGAGGAGGAGGAGGACAACCTCACTTGCCTCACATGTTTTTGGTTTGGGGGCGGTTCAATATCACGGCTGCGAGTCTGAAACTAGTGAAACCAGTAACAAAGGGCATCGCTACTAGGAGCTAGGACGCTAGTAGTAGCTCCTGGCCTTACTACTGGTAACAAGAAGCCAGCAGTAGCAAATGATTAAATGTAATGCGTTCCTCCTGTGGCTCCGAAAGTTTTTATCGCCCTTTCCCCTCCATCAGATGTGAACTCCAATACATGAAGTGCCTGGGAGCTGCACTGCTTGTATATGGTTGGTGGAGTGGCATCGTGTGTAGGTTAGGTCTGTAACTGTAAGCAACTAGCCACTAGCCAAGCTAGTCACTGATTCTCGCTCAACCAATATGTGGAAACATGTCTTGTCGCCTGATAATAATGCTTGTTACTAGTAGCTTCTTGTTGCTAGTAGTAATGCCCTTGTTACTAGTCGCGATGAACTTCTTACTAGTAGCTTCTTGCTATTAGTAAAGGCTTGGGGTGTTTAAGCCTTTCTCCAAGGAGGAGATTGGAGATCGTGACCTTCTCGAGCTCTTTGGCCAAGAGGCCAGGGGCATTGGTCGCTCGAGCAAGGCTGCAATCAAAAGATTCCCGTTTGCGACCAGAAACAACACCAATGACCACCACAAACACCTGAAAACACTCATAAGCAAGCCAGTGGGTAGACAATAAAGCAAGAGATCGTAGATCCTCATGAAACGACCCAAAAGACCCGCATGTGAGAGCTGAGGATTCAAGCGCCGCCAGAAGCTTGCCGAGGTCGCTGGCGAAGCGGATCCCGCTCGGACCTTGCGGCCTTTTGCTGGGCGGCTGAAGGACCGGGAGCACAGCCAACGAACCGAAGACACATTGATCACCGATCATTGATCCCATTTGCTTGGTGCACAACGAGTACAAGAACAGCCACTTTATGAAGTGATCTGGGGAAATTGGACGGTTTTGTTCAGTCGGTTAGTTCTACTGTATATTGCGTTTACGGTCACTGAGTTGGCAACACTCCGACATTTGTATATAGTCTTGTTGGATCGTTCTTGGTGCTTCTCTTTTGGACAAGGCCAAAGCTTTCTGGACTCCCAAAACATCCCAAAACCAACTTGAGCAGACAGATCCAGACTTTGCAGGAAGTGGAATGTGCCACAAAAAGCTGAACAAGTTGAAAAGGTGTCGACTTTCTGCGGGCCACGCACGTGCAAAGCACGTGCGTCCTCCGGCGTTTTTCCCACTTGTAAGCTTCCAGCTGACTGGGGCTTTCAGCTCCGCAGGGAACTGTGGGAAAATGACGAGTGGATGTGACATGATGATGTGTGACGGTGAGTCTATCACGCTTTGACGGACTTAAGTAGTGAGGGGAGCACAATAGCCGCCATACATTTGTTCGAGTAACTGCTGTGATTCTGAACCAGGTTGCTCAGTACTCGGCTTAGCAGGCAGAGATAGGCAGAGTATATCAGAGTATAAGATTTATTCAGTTCTGTTGGATCACCGAATCACCAAGGTTTTGGACTAATTCGCTGCACTGAATTGAACAATTTGATACACAATAACAAAGTGATCCAGGGTCAACGGTTGTGGTTGAACGGACTTGGCACCCAGACTGCGTTGCAGGGTTTCACTTGGAGGCACTATAACTCCTACATTATCTCTATATGGCCTCACTGGAGGATAAACAAGGATGGCCATTGCCATCCAACATTTCTGCTACCAAATAACCAGTTTATCGCTCAAGCCGTGGGCAGACAAGACAAAAGACGTCGAGTATCGGCGAGTCGCGAGTCCCATCCCGTCCGGTCCCGTTGTGGTTTCTGAGGTGACGGGTCTTTGGCTCCTCATGGAATTTTCTGCCCAAGGAGTCGGCCTCGAAGATCTCCTCGTCACCCGGACGAAAAACAACCCATTTGGATCTGTTTGGATGGACCATGGGGCGCATGGGGCGTGTTGCGCCTGGTAATCGGGGATTGGATGATGACATTGGGAAGACTGCCGATGGAATGGGGACTGAACTTAAAGGCTTTTGAAACCTCTTAGAACCTCGGCAATGAATGCCCGACAGCATTAGGCAGCTATCGTGACTGAGACATGGGCGTCCTGTGGTGAGAAAATACATGCACATACTAATACTTAACTAGCCGTGTTTGTCAGACAAACATATGAGAAACATACAGATCCCCACGCAGCTACCCTGGCTGGGATGGGGGTGGCTTGAGCCCCTGAATTTGTTATCAAAAAATGCTCCATTTCATCCACTTGATGAGGCCCTGGGTTTCTGGGTTTGAGATGTCTATAACCGTTGAGTACATCAGGGGACCTCTAAATTATCCACATCTAGTGGGTGCCCAGCCTTGTGATGGAATAATATGTTTTGGAATGTTGGGGGGAGCTATGATTTTAGCATATTTTAGCAACACCTTGCCAACCCATTTAAGCCAGGGTGATGTGTGAGCGTGTTTCTTGTAGGACAGCACTGCTTTTACCAGGAACACATAACATAACATTGCCTGAGAATGTGTTGGGCAGATGAAATCCACACTGCCTTGGTATTTACATGAGCACTGCTTTCTAAGGTCGTGCAATCCAATCATTTTAGCCACAACACAACCCACACACCCCACCTGCCCAGCAAAGGCTGAACCACTGTTTTCTGACCAGAGCAGCGCGACAATGACACGAGCCACTCAAAATATGACCTTCCAAGAAATGCCAACAGACCGTAAAAGGCAAATTTATGGGGTGCCTTTTTTTCAGTCACTTAGAAGGCATTTAGGGCCATGTCGGCCACTCCCCACTTTTAGCCAGGTACCCAACCCCATTTTATAGACAAAGGTACCCAAGCTTGGTGGTCCAACCTTGGATCCCTTTGGATGTATCAACCTTGAGAGGGATCCAACCGCATGTGAGGTAACCCAACGGGGATAATACATAAAATAAGTCCAGGAATTGTCTCCCACTGTTTTCATCGCCAAGTTTATAAAAGCACACGTCGGAGGACATACATAGATGACAGAACTCGTTTTTTTGAGCCTGACTCGCTTTTCATTCATTCCTCAGCTGGTGTCCCATGGGGATCCAAAGGGGTGGATCAAGAACGAGTGGATGGTATTGGGACCTGTAGTGACCCGTCATCCCTTGTGCCATCTCCATGAGACTGGTGGCTGCCATCAATTAGGGCATAAAGTTATAAAGGATTATATTTATAAAGGTGTGCGCAACAAACAGAATCCCAGGCCGTTTTCCGGGGCGACATGCATCCACTGGTGGCCTCCAAGATGGCAATGGGAATGCTGATTCCAATGATTCTTGGGAAGCAGCGGAAGAGGGACGCCAACATGTTAGTGGTTGGCTAGTTGGAGGTGGGCCGTATGTAGTTGCATGCCTGTGCAAGTCTTGGTGTGACCGACACCTGTAGATTGGCAGCTGCTTAGCCGCTTTGCGTTTTCTCTTGTTTGACTAAGCAAGCTCGTGCAGCACACGAATGATCAGTCTGTGTGCCTCTAGAGGGAGAATTCGAGAAAGCTCGAAGTGTTTTACATTGTTTTACTGCTTGATCAATGACGCAATTGCTTGTTTTACTAAGAAACCAACCTTAAAACACCTGTTATTGCTTGTTCTGTCAACTGGCTTTTGTGCAACAGCAAAGAAAAAGCCAGAAGACTAAGCAACCAAAGAGCGACAGACAGCAGCCAAGGTCTACATTCTATTATATATATATACTTACTATATGTGTTTTTTCCTTTCTAAGTTTTTGAGGACTGCACTCGTAGTCAATGGATTCATGTACAAATCAAACTGGTTTGATTGACAAATGAACAAAGATCCAGTCAGGGCGCCAGTTCCAAGCCGAACCGACTAGAATTTGGAACATGTGGAGTGTCAGTTTTGACAAATGTGTTGGCGCCAGCGATTTGTACCGAACACATCCGGTTTAGCAGCAGATGAGATGAGTTTCAAATAATTATCAATATCCTGATTTGTTGATCATATTGTTTGTGGACCTTCATGTTCTTTTCTTTTTAGAGTATACCATTCTGAATTTATTGCGTTTGGGGCTCATCATTTTGCCCCGCTTGTCACTTTCCGTCTCTGAGGTTTGGGGTCGTTCACATTCCCCTTCTTTGCCAGCCTTGACCATCCTCAAATTCATATATATATATTTTTCTTTTTTTTTCCGGCCGAGTTTTTTTAGGCCAACCCAAGACAATTAGGCCAACGGCTTCCCAACGCCGTGATTACCGTGATTTGAGGCAATCCCCTCTCAAACAAAAAGAGCGAGTGAGGGTAGGACACATTCATAAGGATTCATGATCGTTTGCGCAAATCAAGTTCCGACATGTCCGCAGTTATTTGTGGTCATTGTGTACCAGCCTTTGTGAGTCACCGTTCAAAACAACATCATTGCTAGTGTCCAGGTACAAGTTCACTAGTCACTAGTCATTGCTGCATCAGTCTCTCCCGAGGACAATTGCAGTGCTGTGTGCTACGCTGTCTGTGAAACTGATGGGCTGCATGTGCCATGGCTAGAAAGCCTGACAGACAGAATTGTGTTGAACATATTCTTTTTTTGCAGGAATCAAAGGACCCTACGACTGATCCAACATTATATAGATATGACATTTCCCACTGTTGCAAATTGATGGGGATTGGAAAAGCCTGCTAGTCAAGCCTTCTTCTTGACAAGGTGGCCTCCAACTTTGCGATTTGCTGTTGACACATCTAATAAAGCTTTTGCGCTTGGCCGCTGCATGCTACTGCCACATGATTCAAACTTCACCCATTTTGCCACCCCGTTGCTCAGATATAGTGCCTTCCAGCCTGCGCCGATGCCACTGCTGGAAGATCCAGTGTTGGAGAAGGAATGCGTTCCGATTGCGCGAGTGCGACTTGGTTGAGATTTCTCCCACGTGGACGTGGACGTGGACCACCCCAAAAAAACCCTCCTGGCGCTTGGCGAGATCACAGGAGCACCAGGGAAAACCTTCATTAAAAAGATTTTGGAGCCACATGAACAGTGCGAGTGTGAGCTTTCCTGCGTGATTAATTTAGTAAGCTATCCTGCCCGTACTTAATTGAGTAGCAGCCTACGTACAGTAATTAAGGCTAGGGCGGGCTGCGGGCCAATAAAAAAGAAAGAGCATACAGCATACCTTCAACCTGGAGAGTTGTCCGAGTTTGAAGGAGTGCCGAGGCAGGGACAGAGATAGAGAAGAGATGCAGGAACATCGCTGGAAAAGCTTCAATAGAAACACTGAGAAGACCCACACCCCTTTTCTTTGTCAAAGATGTCCGCAAACTCCTAGAAGATTGAGGTATTTTGACAGAGGTTTGCTTGGTATGCTTTTTTTGTTGGGTTTCCTTTTAGAGAACCTTTGTGCAGTGGCCGAGGACCATGGGTGAGGCTGAGCTTTCAACGCAGGTCTCCTGGAATGGTGGGGATGAAGAGGCAAGGCCCACTTTTGAAGAACTGGATGAAGGAGGGATGTCAGACATCGAACTTGTAACGTCTTGTAACATTGATACTGGACAGAATAAAGGCAAACCAAATACTTGAATTTGCCAAAAGATGAGGAGATGAATGCTAAGATTTGCTAATAGCTGGATGCCCGTGTTTGTTGATGTCTATTTATGGAGCAGCTGATGCAGCAGCACAACACCTGCTGACTCCCAGCATCTGAAGTTTCTTTCAAGCTGGCCTAGGGGATGGGAGTTATAGGCCGATGCCATGTTCCCAACACTTTCATGTGGGTCACAACTCTGGATGGCTCAAAGACCTGGATCTGAGGGGTGACTCCCTGCAACTACCTGGTTTGCAATGTCGTTCAAATCACCGATTGCATTAGCAGCTTCGGTATTCAGGCAGAGCTGGACCGGATGAAATCCATCAGCTCTTCAGTCTTGAGCCTCTCCCACGACAGTGAGCTGCAGAAGCCGCCCCTAGGAGACGATTTCCCGTTGAACACATGGGAAACCATGGGAAACCCGGGTGTCAAACTGATTGGTTTGACGCTGATCGGTTTGAACCTGGACGTGGATCGACAATCCATAGGTTTTGAGAGTGTTTGATGTGTACAAACACAAAAGGATGTGTGGAAGCGGATTTTGGACAAATAGGCAGCGAGAGCTTGTAAGGTTGGGAAGAAGGAACCATGCCTGTTGG